ATATATATATATATGCATGAATGTATATTTAATTTGGGGGCCTGGTGTGATGCTGCTTCAGGATAAGCACTGGGCTGCTAACGGCAAAGCAGCTCAAATCCACCGGCTACTCCTTGGAAACCCTACACAGGGTTGCTATGAGTCAGAACTGACTGAATGGCACTTTACAACAGCAACATAGATGTTGTCATTTCAACCTATAATCCGTATACAATTGTTGAGGTATTTTAGAATCTTTTTTTTTTTTTTTTGGCACTGTCTTCAAAATTTGTTTTGTGTTTTACATTTATAGTCCTTCTCAATCCAGACTGCCACATTTAAAATGTTGTTAATATCTGTTATATGGGATAACACAGGTTTAAACTCTAGAATCTGTTACTTATAAATAGATTTTTGATTAAATTGGAGAATTACTTTTGTTTATAGTGTTTTATTTTTCACATTATGGTGCTTAGCAAAAGAGAAGCATGAAGAGAGCTGCTTAAATATCACTGGTTAAGAATTTTCTGTATGTTTTAAAAACATATTTGCTATATTTGTATATTCCTAAAATAGATACCTTCAGTAAAATTAATGGAAATCTCTATAAAGCAGTGTGAGACATTAAGAAGACAAAAATAACTGTTTGATAATGATTTTTTTCTCTTTGGAAACAATTGTTTTGATGTCCTATATGTACAGCCAAAAGTTATCTCGTCATTACCATGGTAAATAACAACAGAACATGACAGCAACGTTTTTATTTTTAATCCTGAAAATTCATAAAAATCATAGCTTGACTGTTAAGATGGATTTTAAGTAAAATCACAGGGATCTGTTGATCCTTACACATTAGCGTGTGTAAGGATGGAGTGTGTTTGTTTGCAGAGCTTGTGTAATTTTAGTGATAATGGATTTAGAACAGTGGCAGCCACAGTATAGAATAATTGAAAGAATCCTTGAATAGGGGCTTAGAAGACTCACCTTATATGTTGTTGTTAAGTACCGTCGAGTCAATTCCAACCCATAGCCACTCTGTACAGGGTGTCCGAGGGCAGCTGGTGAGCTTCAACTGCTGACATTTTGGTTCAAAGGACTTTGCAGTCCAGCTCATTAACCCACAGCACCATACCAGAACTCCAAAATTTCATGAAAAACGTAATTTAAAAATAATAGAAAATTTTCAAGAACTTTTTTGAACTCCTCTGGTATGTTTTATTCTGACTCTACTGGGGGGACTCTGGGTAAGTAACAGAAAGCCCAGAATTCTGGGCTTCAGTTTCATAATCGAACATGCTTCTCAAGATCTCCTCCAATGCTGTGAGTCTATGATTACCTAACAGTGAACTGAAAGTGTTGCTATGGAGACAAGTACTACAGTAACACAATGAAATTAAATGGATTTCCACTTTAGATACAGAAATATTGCAATGACTATTTTAATATTAAAATAATGAAATGCTTATTTCTTGAGAATAATGTTTTGAGCATTCTCATACATAATTCCATAGTATGTACAATATAGATTTTAGAAATTGGATGACTAAGTAAATATATCATATATATCATATATATATATTTGTTGTTGTTGTTAAGTTCCATGTAGTTGTTATGACTCACAGGGTTTCTGAGGAGCATCTGGTGAGTTTGAACCTCCAAACTTGTGGTTCAAACTTAACTTGCAGTTGAGGCTTATCCTGGTGAGTTCAAACCTACCTTTCTGTCAAGTGCTTTATCATATAGCACCACACACACCAGGACTCCAAAATGAGAGGTGCTACCAATCAATCTCTTTCTCTTTTTCTTTTTCTACATTGATACGGTGTTGGTGTTGAGTTCTGTCAAGCCAGTTCCAACTAATAGTGACCCTGTATATAGGATTTTCATGGAGCAGCTGGTGGGTTTGAAGCACCAACCTGTGGTTCACAGTCCAGTACTGATCCTACAGCGCTGTACCAGAAGTCCAGATATAGATATAGATATAGATGATATAGATATAGATATAGTATATAGATATAGATATAGATATAGTATATAGATATAGTATATAGATATAGTATATAGATATAGTATATAGATATAGATATAGTATATAG